GCCTGTAGTACCTCATCTGAACATCTCGATAGGTTTTATTGTTATCAGAATACGAAGCATCATCATATGTTAGTGATTTCAATCTAGATAACATTTCTAATAGAAGTACAGAAACAAAGAAAATGGTGCCAAGAAGGATTTTTTTGATAGTTATAATTTTAACGTACGATGATGAGTATTACACTTGTTGGACGGTCACCTTATCACCAATCAGATAAGATTGTTTTTCTATATTCTGTTTTTCTTCTTAGTTTTTGATTCCATTCATTGATGTTTTATGTTTCTTCTTTATCAATGAAGTTTTCAATTACGTCGTCCAAGCAGTAGTCCTCAGTTTATACAGAGGGCTTTCTAATTTCTAACTCTATTGTTTTATAGAGTTGTATGTTTGTCTTTAAGGAAGCAATAAATGCTAATTTACTGTTACACGCATGTTTACCTCACTACTACTAATATTTATCAGAATAAAGTTTTTCTAATCACATTTCAAACGTCTGAAATTATTCCGGAGTCTACAAACACCTCAATTTTGAAACATCTGCAATGAATGATTGTTGTGTTCTTCCAACTGCTATAATACTTCTTACATTCGCAAAATCCTTAAGTCTTTATGGAATCTTAATGCCTCACTAATGTATGTAAATAATTTCCCTCATTTGTAGCTTTATTGTGTCATTCTGTTCATCTTGGTTGCAAAGGTAAAAAAATGACATCATACCTATACTGCTACTGCTTGGTTGCCTCTACTACACCATTTTGAAAAAATAGGTATTAGAATGTGTAGCAGTAGAGTAAGTAGATGGAGTTGAATATTCTATCATAGAGCTAGCAATGAAAGTGAGGAGAATGTTTGCTCAACGCAAAGCAATTTTTATTAATTGAGGTATTAGAAGCTGTCAAATATTCACACATCGTTGTCGGTGCTTACGTCATTTTTTGACGCGATAAATATTTTTTTGCCTCCTTTAGCCTCTCAAGAATCTTGCAAAAAGTAATCGAACTGTGATTTCAAAATCACATACCTTTCATGCCGTAATAGCAAGGATTGATTTACTATTGATTTGTTTCATATGAACAACAAAAATTTAGTTGATTAATCATTGTCATGTGCTACCACTGCTTTTCATCATCATGGATAGTAATCAAATCGTGATCAATCTGACATTTATCTTATGATGTTATTGATTTATCGACTACATTTATTTTGTTCAGCGATGTTTCCACGTCATACAGTGCCAGCAGATAATTGTACCCATGCGTTGTTCGTTCGTCCACTAACGTCACCCATCTCACCGCACAGGCTTAACCTTTCATTTTAATGTTTTCAAGTTCACTTTCTGTCTTACATGGTCTCCTAACCATTTTTTGTTTATGTTCGGCATTCGCTTCGCATGCGAAACCTAAAACGTAGATGAACAGAATCTTCTGAATAGAGAAAGTTGATGTATGTTTAAAATTGCTTAACCTTTACTATTGTTCCAGAAAGTGTTGTTATGGAATAATATGTTGATGTTTCTTTTAGTCTCGTAATTTCATTGAGAAATCTTTTTGTTAATATCTGTTTAGAGGAGTTCAAATATCCAATCCGGACTTCTCGTTTCACCACTAACTGGGTAATTCTTTTACCTTTAAGCTTACTTGTACTAAATGGTACGATCATATGTGATTTTACTTTGACTCAACTAACAGACTGAAGAAGGTAATGAATTGCCTGGAAAGTATGCATGCGTAGACGATAAGATATCCGGAATGGGTGTTTTCCTTTTCTTCTTTCTGTTTTCGCTTTGTGTTTATGATTGGTTGTTGTTGTCTGCTGCTGCTATTTTCCATTTGTTTTTGTGAGACAATTTCAGTTTGGCATATAGCAATTCTAGCGATCCGAATTGCCTCAATGGTGAATATATGACGGAGATACGATTGGATCCTATGTTGGTAGTGAAGATGTGATTTGCATAATACATTCATTCTATTCATATTACTTTTTCTTTTCCAAAATCATTCCAGCTTTACTTTCAGTATTGTTCTTAAAAAAATGTAAATATTCATTATTACTACACAGTTTTTTTTTGTCTTTATAATTTGTAGAGCTTAATGACATGGCATTTTTCATTGATTATCAGTTTTGCTGTGCGATTACCAGTTACGTTATGGTATGTAATATTTGAATCTCATCATCTTTTTTCTTTTTGTTTTACCAGTGTCTTTGCTTTTGCTTTGCTCTCTATATGCACGGTGGTTATTTATATATAGTGTTTTCATCTATTATTCTTATGTTACTGTTCTTTTTTTCTTATGCTAATTAGCAGTATTCGTCAATGTCACCATAGTCGGGTATCTTCTCATAGATGATCATAGATCATTTTTATTACTTGTATGATTCGTTAAAAAGGTTGATGATTAATCAATCGAACTGTATATATAGATGACCAATAGTAATTTACTTACCTACTTACGTCTTACTCAATACGTCTTGATGATGATTTATTGAAAATTTTTAGTTTACAAACTACATATAAACGTATGAACAACGTAGTGATAACCTCAACAAGCTTGTTTCTTTCATAATGATATGCATGAGATGACGTCGATTGTTATCAAAGCCAGACGGCTTGTGCTTGTATAGACTTGTGTATCGCTGCTGTCTTCGAAGACTTTTTTTTTTTCATTCGGAAGAATCAAATATCGTTAGTTTTTTTAGCTTGACGAACTTTTTTTTAAGCTATTCAATAAATATGGATAGTTGATAAATGGACTATTGTAGAAGATTTGCACCTCATCTTATCATTGAGGTTAACAGCTAGTATATAGCGCATAGTATAACTCTATGTAAGCACTACTGCCTACTGTACATGTTGTACTGCCTTCGCACTTTATCATTGTGATTCTTCCGTTTGATGATTAGATTCAGTACTTGGGATTATTGCTTTGCAATTCAATTCGATCTGATAACGTCGTTGATACACCAATAACTGAGGTGGCTTTTTTTCTAGTGAATTTAAAATTTTCTTGACGTGAAATTTTTGTTTCAGTTCGTTATCTACGCTTATTTGTTTACGAG